AGTATACGCTATTCCCGAAAATCAAGAAAGCTCCCATGCTACGTGGAAGCGAAACGTTGCATCCAGCAAAACCTTCCCCAATTGAAAGCGGCCAAAACGCCATCAAGGATGACAATGCAGGCAGATATTCCGGTTCCGCATACAGAATCATTGGGAATGGTTTTTTCCACCGCGGTAGAATCTCTTTTCCAAAGTTTAACCGGTTAGCCACTATCCAAGAGGTTGATATAGACTCTTGTACGTATCAGATCGGAGTACCGTGTAAAACCTGCACAGACTAATATGGAAGCAGCAACAATTCCAGGTATGCAAATAACCTCGACAGAACCTTGCTCCCAGCAACAGCCGGTGTCGCTCACAACACTGCAACAAAATACATCTAAGTGCCTGCACCTGTTGGGCGGTTCTGGCTGGAAACTTCAACCTGAAAGCAAGCCACCCATGGCAAATCCCTGTGAATCTGTCGGTGTCAACAAATTCCCCGGCAGGGTTGCCCAGGACAAATCCGGCAGCAGGCCCGCTCTGTTGACTGACACCCCCGTCCCTGAACTATTTGTGCATACCTATTACCCTACCTTTGTCGAGCCGGGTCGTCATCAAAGCCACATCATGCTGTATGCAAAGAACCGTACAGAAGACGCATGTCCAGTAACCGCGCCGGGTCTGTCACAAAGCATGGGCATGGGCAGGCCAAGAAAGAAATCACATGCCAGCAGAAACGAGCCATCGATGGAATGGGCTGAGCTAGCCCAGAACTCAGAGGAAAAGACTTTCAAGATCCTGCCTAAAGGCTTCAGGCCGATGCAGGCTGGAAGGAAGCTCGGTATACGTGAGTTGAGGGTTGTTTGCAGCCAGGCAATAGAAGAGGCCAAGTGTTTCGAAGTCCTTCGACCGAGAGATGTGGAAGACCTATCAAAGGCATGACTGTTATAGCCGAATGTTGTGTATTACTGGCACTAATTTTCTGCAGGAACTTCGCTACCTCGATGAACGGGCCGAATATTTGCGATACACTTATAAATCTCTACGAAGCGGGAGATGTGGTCTCCAACAATCCCGCAAATGCGACTATTCTCAGCCTCGTCACATCGTTCGATCTTGCCATAAGTCAATGTTAAGACGGGAAGAGGCTTTGGCGAAGCTGGACGCATCTATAGATGACTGGTT